ATGATGGAGTACCTCAAAGTTTGATGCAAAAACGCATGATCGCAGCGACACATCAAGCTTGCCGTGAGATCATATATTATTAAGCGTCTCTATCCTGCACAGAGATCCCCTCTACTATTGGACCGGGGTGGGGGTGACTGCAGTGTTGCAGTCTGAAAATTTGACGCATCTGTATACAAAGCCCATATCTAGGCAGAAGCTCATCTTACGTTTGTTTGACCCAAATATTCCAGAATCAAATGGGCCTTTCCGATTCCGTTTGGTCACTGAGTTAAACAGAGTCCCAAGCTAACATTTCACTTGTGCGAGACGCGAAGCACAGGCGTGCTTTGAAGTTAGATTTGAAATATTTCTGTTGCACAGAATATCTTCGTAAAAGTTCAGCTCCCTAGCTTAACTGGTTGGCAAAATCGCTTTTTGTTACAGATATTTGACGTGTTAGCAATAAAACTGCACGGCAAAGCTTAAGTCTAGGTGCTTGCGTGTGCACGACAAATATTTTCATCAAGAAAAACCATTCAGTTCAGCCTGACCCTGAACTTAGCATTTTGCCAGGGGCTCCGGGATTTCCTCTTTGACGTGCCCGTACGTATAACGCAGAAATGCGTAACAGCTGTACTTAAGACTGTCCACACACGTGCACACAATACCCATCTATTTCAGCCTCCTGTGCTGCCTGGTTCCCGAAATCGTTTTCCCATCAAAAAATTTGCACTTTTTTGGGCATCTGTATGTGAGACCCATATGCAGAGTAATGATGATTTTAAGTAGCTGAGATTGCTCGCATTTACACCCTCGTGAAATTTCAGCTTACTAGCTTCTGCGTTTGCGAGACTGAATATATGTGACAAAAATATGCAGCAATCCTCTGAGCTGCACTCTGCTCTCAAATCCTGTCTTCAAAGCAACATTTAAGCCCCCCTACCCCCGGTATCCGCAGCAGAAGCACAGTTCCTCTTCCTTTCCACTTATAACTCAATCTCCCTCTCCCTTACGTGGTCTAGGCAATCGGATGAATTAGATGTGCCTTAAGACAAACTGAGGACGATTTCTACCTGATTTGAACAGCTACCGTCTGACATCGAAATAATTCACGAGTAGCAGAGGTATTCTATTTAAAACTGACGAAGCTGAACCAATGATCTGTGCATGAGAGCAGCGCTACGCAAAATTACACATGGCAGGAGATGTCTGCATGCGAGGCACATTCTTTTGGATAATTTATCGGTAAATAGTGATAACCGCAAGCAACACCAAATAAAAATGTACGCACAACGTATAAGATGCGTCTATCGGTAACATGAAAAGTTAAATGAATTAAATCTCCAAAAAATCGATTGCTCAAACACAGGCTCGCCGCCCCAGTTTCATATTCTGGAAATGTCTAAAGCACCAGCCTATTGCCCGAGGAAGGGCAGTCATCCAGCAGAAGAAAAACCCTTCATGCATCGCATTCATTTTCTACGCTTTGCCCTAGAAGCGGCTGAATGCCACTTGAGTTGCTCGCATAATCTGCTTATTATCATCAGAAAGATCAACGCAGTACAAGAGGGGGGGAAGGCCGGTTAGCTTTTCGCCGGTAGCATCTTTGAATCACGAATCAAAGTCCAACGGCCACTCCATCACATTATCCTTTCTAA